ATCCAGTTCACAGATCACAACACCAAGTAAATCCGCCTCCTTAGCTACAAATATTCTTCATCAACTCAAAATTTCAACTCACCATATAAAAATCTATATTCAATATAATATGGGATGAAAAATTGTTCATTATTCATTGGGAGAGATTCTAGGTATGATGTTGACGATGGTGACAGTCATGATGATGATGATGATGATGATGATGATGATGATGATGATGATGATGATGATGATGATGATGATATGATGATGATGATGATGAGATGATGATGATGATGATGATGATGATGATGATATGATTGATGATGAGATGATGATGATGATGATGATGATGATGATGATGATATGATGATGATGAGATGATGATGAATGATGATGATGGATGGATGATATGTGATGATGATGATGATGATGATGATGATGATGATGATGATGATGAGATGATGATGATGATGATGAGATGTGATGATGATGAGATGATGGATGATGATGATGATGATGATGAGATGATGATGATGATGATGATGATGATGATGATGATGATGATGATGATGATGTGATGATGATGATGATGTGATGATGATGATGATGATGAGATGATGATGATGATGAGAATGATGATGTGATGATGATGATGATGATGATGATGATGATGAATGATGATGAGATGATGATGAGTGATGATGATGATGATGATGATGATGATGATGATGATGATGATGATGATGATGAAGATGATGATGATGATGATGATGATGATGATGATGATGATGATGTGATGATGATGATGATGATGATGATGATGATGATATGATGATGATGATGAGATGATGATATGATGATGATGATGATGATGATGATGATGATGATGATGATGATGATGATGATGATGTGATGATGATGTGATGATGATGATGATGAGATGATGATGATGATGATGATGATGATGATGATGGATGATGATGATGATGATGATATGATGATGATGAGATGATGGATGATGATGATGATGATGATGATGATGATGATGATGATGAGATGATGGATGATGATGATGATGATGATGATATGATGATGATGATGATGATGATGATGATGATGATGATGATGATGATGATGATGATGATGATGATGATGATGATGATGATGATGATGATATGAATGATGAATGATGATGATGATGATGATGATGATGATGATGATGATGATGATGATGATGATGATGATGATGATGATGATGATGATGATGATGTGATGATGATGATGATGATGATGATGATGATGATGATGATGATGATGATGATGATGATGATGATGATGATGATGATGATGATGATGAGATGATGATGATGATGATGATGATGATGATGATGATGATGATGATGATGATGATGATGATGATGATGATGATGATGATGATGATGATGATGATGATGATGATGATGATGATGATGATGATGATGATGATGATGGATGATGATGATGATGATGATATGATGATGATTGATGGATGATGATGATGAGATGATGATGAGTATGTGAGTATGTGGAGATTGTAGTGGATTCATGATATTGATTGGTAGTGAGTTAATTAATTCTGTAGAGTAAAATATTCATACGAGGTACATTACCTGACATGTAAACAACTCTGCTTAAATCAATATCCAGTGTAGAACCTAGACATATTGCTACTTGTTGTTCTGCAGTGATCGATGGATTTGATCGCAGCTGATGAATGATCTATTCCTCGTTATTATATTCATGTAGTCATCGGAATCTGTAACATGTTGGCGGATCTACAGAAGTCGACCCTGGTAATTGAGTATTTTGAGTAGATACAGTGTGTCACACCTATATCGAATACAGATAAGAAGGGGAAGCTTAAGAGAAACACTACAGACAATAATTAACTCCAGTTGATGACATTTTTAAGAATACTTCCTAATTATGTTAATATGTTTACTGAAAATATATATTCAGTTAGTTGCGTTAATTACTGAAGAAGAACTAGAGATAGAATGAAGAATAACTTTGCATTTGAAGTGTATAAAAACGGAGTGCTAACTGGGAACAAGAATGAATCTTCATTATTGTAATATTTTTATTTCCCAGTGAATATAAAACAAAATAAAATTGTTTTAACTGGCATTTTGATGTACCTAGTGTTAATAGCTTTAAGATGGTATTCATCATGGATAGACATCAGTTGGAGAACCACTGAAGACCTGGGAGTACTAGATAGCTAACTATTTCGTCCCAGTAAGGGATTTCTCAGCAGTAAGCAGCCCACAAACCCACCAGTTATCGAAACCAGAACCTTCAAGTTAAGTAATGACCACCTTACTATTGAGCCACTCAGTTGGAATCCAGCGGTCCACACTTCCCATTTCTGTCAGCCCACGATACAGAACAGTTTTCGCTTAATGCCGTCTTTATGTAAATATCCTCACATCCGACTTGGTTCACCCCACTGGTCACGACTTTGCATCGAAACTTCGATAAATCTCATCTCACAGCATATCACTCACTAGTGAGGACTAAATAGTTATTCAATTTGGAGGTTTGGAGGGATTTATTTGTTTATTTTGGGTTTTTTCTTGATGACATATCATAAATAACCGACGTCTAGGGAAAATTCCTTCAAAGTACTTACTTGGGGAGTCGCATGAGCCTGAACGGTCTCGTTGCTGACGAAATTGCACCTCAGATACAGAAGCCTCATTTTGCTATTGCCAACTTGAGTCACCTGTGGCACCAACTAGTGAGATTTCCAACTACCTATTGACGGAAGATTATACTGTGATGCAGTCCGTTCTATCCTACGATATGACTGTGAGACATGACCATTGAGAGTAGAAGACATGAAGTGGTTACAGAGTTCTGGTCGTATATGTCTTTGTAGGATTGCTGGCATATGGTGGAACCACCATGTTTACAATGTGGAAGTCAGGGGAAGGGTACAGATTAAGGAGAGCAAGTCAGTCAATCGATAAGGTTGTGAAACTATAACATACTCAGTAATCAGGCATTATCAAGACATTTGTATCAAAGCAAATATACCAACGGAGGTGGATAATAATAACAACAAGCGCAGAGTTCTAAACATCAAGATTTCTAAGAACCACTGAAAATATACAAAAGTAAATAAGTGAGAAGACTTCTCAGAAGTTTTCAGGCATGTTCGATGACGAGATGTCACTCTGCTCACCTGATATCTAAAATTAAGCAACTCTTTCAAATTAATTGTAAGGCTCAGAACTGAAGTCTACCTACCGTAGTACCTAATGCTTGAGAATCACACCTAACATAATAACTATCTACACATTATGGTGTGTCAATTACTTGCTAAAATGACCAGGGTGAGAAAGAACTATAGGACAATTAGTTGCTTTGTTGAACAGTATACAGGTAAATAGAAATCACGAGAAGGTTCCTTCACATATCAGAAAGATGTATTTTATTCCCGCTTCCAGTCTTAGTTGTTGCTGTTGTCGATTACAGAAGATCCAGTTTCAGAAGGCTAGAATGAGTGCATTCTCTTTGTCCTACGGGATGAGAAAATCATTATTTCATACATGAATTTCTCTTTTATAGTTTGACGAGACAAAAAACAGCGATGAAAGTATGATAAAACGGACCTGTCTTGTCATACCACTTTCTCGCCAATTCTCCAAGTCCCTAAGTTTATGTAAACAACCTCCGTCTTTAGAAAATCTTCGATGTATAACAAAATCTCACGCACTGAGTTATCAAAATCAGTCGTAGAGAAAATACTAAATAAAACTAGTGGCTCTGAGAAGTTAATCATTGATTTGATCATTGCATACCGGATAAAGCTATTCAACTCCTTACTGGATCAATTTACAAATCACACGGTTCACGGTGAAACTTCTCACAGCTAAGTAGTCTTTCATTTGTCACCCAACTTGAAACCACTCAACCAAGATCACAAGATGTGATCTATGACACAAAAGTATCATGAACTACTGAAAGATACTACTACTGAAATGTTTGAGTAGTATATTCCGATGTTTAGATTACTCTGATCTGATTGGCGAAATCAAAAGATCAGCCTGAGTACTTTCTAACTGCTCATATTGTTTCATAGTAATATCTTTTATACTGGGTCCTCAAAGGGAGATTTGAAAGACCTTGTTGGAGACTTTAGTAAAAGAGCAGTTGCATGGGAACTCTCTAGAAAACCTCAATCAAAACGTTTTGCAATCTTTTCAGTGTGAAGCTCAATTAGAATTAGTTTGAAACGCTCAGTAAGATTTAATTTTCTTGCGTGAGGCAAATTTGCTGGTGAAACTGATCCGTTTTATTCTGCCATCATTATTATTCTTGCTCTTTTCATATACCATACCCCTTGAAACTCATCACATGATTCAGACTAAAAGTTAGCGACTTCATAGCTTTCCATGGATATACAACCTCACTTTGAGTAATCCAGATGAAGTTCAGGGAAGATGTCCAACTATTTCAGTCAGTGTATTTTCATAAAATCTCCCTTACCTAAGTGTTGCATGTAATATCTGACCGACGCCCTCCACTCTCAAGATTAGTGATAGAGCTACCAGGTTACTTCTCAAACAGCTTCGTTCAGCTAGAATACCGGCAGTCTTTTAAGACTTGAGGGAGGACAAGGGTAGTTTGTCGGCGTTTGTCCCCACTGATCATAGGTTTAGGCAGTTGACTTTCAACCAGCGGGTCACAGGTTCGAGCCCTAGTCCACCTAAAGAGTTTTATGTAGCCAGATAGTATCATTAACAGTCGTAAACAATAGGCAAGTGGCCCAATGTCTACTGAAGGAATATACACAAATCTGATAAGCTCCGACAGTCTACTTCCTTTCAGAGATTCATACCTTAAAAGTGAATCATCGTTGATAAGAGTAGATTTTCTGCTAATTTTGCAGTTTCATCATTGGAAAAAAGTTTTATTTTTCAATCCACAATGTTCTGATATTGAAACATTCCCTTTGTTGAATTCTAATTTAGATTTATGGGACAGGCACTGATTCCTCTACAATGTGTGTTGTCAACAACTGCTGAGGTACCTATCTGTGTTGCATTACAGAACAAAAAGGGTCAAGATACTACCGTAAGTCAAAAAACATCTTGGATATCTCCTTTGTTGAAGGTTATTTTTCGCATAAAGTTGTGGTGAACTCCCCTTATTTACCTATTAGGAAGCTGTTGTTCATAGTCCCTATGACTCTACTTTGATATAAGCATCTATTTGGGTATGATTCCTAGTCTAGTGAGGGCATATGAAAGTACCTAATGGTTTAGCCGTGGTTTATTTGCTGATACTCTAAGGCTTCAGTCAATGCGTCATAGGTTCCAAAAAATCGTCGAACTTATCGAGATTTAAGTAGCTACATGACTTTACTACTTCTTATTTGATTGAAATTACATCTCCTTGTACTTATGTAGTGTAAATCTGTGACTCATAGGTCCAGGTGGGTAATTTTCAACCGATGAGTCACGTGTTCGAACCCAGTTCCCACTACTGAGGTTGAGGCAGTCAGTTTGCAGTGCCATTAAGTGTAGTTCATTCCCATTTTGACAATTTTAGAGTGAATTTGTTACTTATATTCTATAGTAATACAGTATGTAATACCAAATGATAGTCAACTCTCTACCTCAACTTTATCGACTTTGAAAAGGCCTTTGACAGCGTCGACCGAGAAACAATTTGGCAGTTGCTTCAATACTACGGAGTGCCACCAGTCTTTATCAACCTCATTCAACAGCTATATGAAGATACCACATGCCAAGTGGTCTACAATGGTAAGCTCAGTGACGCCTTTGAAGTGAAGACAGGAGTAAGACATGGCTGCCCACTATCATTCGTAATCTTCCTGATTGTGGTCGACTGGATCATGCAGCAAACAGTGAGAAGTGAGAAGATGGGCATACGCTGGCTGGACCGATGAAAACAGCCTAGAAGATTTGGGTTTCGCCCATGATGATTTATGTCGAATGTCGCACAAACTCGAAGATGTACAGGCGAAAACTAACAAGTTGGCAGAAGAGGCAGCGAAGATGGGACTTCAAGTGAACGTATAGAAGACGGAGGTGATGAAGATACCCAACCACCGCCAACAACAGCAAGCACCAATCACCATCAACAGGAGAAATCTAAAGAAAGTTGTATTGTTCACCTACTTAAGCAAGGCAGCATCGTCTCAACTACAGGCAGCGGCACAGACGAGGACGTGAAAGCCAGGATCGGAAAGACAGTAAGACAGGCTTTCATTAATCTGAAATCAGTGTGAAGATCTACCGTGAACAACATCCAGATTTTTAACACCAATGTCAAGTCAGTGCTGCTATGTGGTTCAGAAAATTAGCGCTTCGCGAAAAGCATTTCCAACAAACTACAGATATTCATCAACAGCTGCCTATGCTGGCTCGATACTGAAGATCAGGTGAGCAGTAAAAATGAAAAACAAGGATCTCTGGTAACGAACCAACAAAGAAGCTGTTACCCACCAAATATGCAGAAGGAAGTGGAGATGGATTGAGCATACACTGAGAAGGCCGATTGGGGATATCACTTACCAGGTCAGGCCGTCGAGTGGAAGCCAAATGGGAACAACGAATTGGGCGTCTGAGCTGAGGGTGACTTTAAGGAGATCATGTGAGGAAGAAATGAAGGCTTGTGGGCAACGTGGTGCCAGGTTGAAAAGACTTCAGAGAAGAGAGTGGGATGGGGACGTGCTACTGAAGCCATATGTTCCACTAGGAACCCAAAGGAAAATAAATAGATAAATAATAATAATAATAATATAACGTAATACCAAGTGGAAGTAAGTAATACCGAAAACTCTGTTGATTACCCACGATCATTGTTTTGGATTGGAGTTGTGGATTGATGAGTTTTGTCATTCAGCAAAATTAATCACTGTTAGTTGGTTGGAAGCTATCAGTAAGAAGCTCTGTTCCACCTTGCTTTCATACCTATTGGTAATCATCAGCAAGGTGTATCTGCGACTTCAAAGGGATTGATGTCCACTCTGACATCCGAACCGGTGTCCCCCAGTACTGTAATCATAGATCTTGTCGCTAAGCTGTTTACTCTGTCAGCAATTCTTCAACTGAAGAACACCACTTTGAAATCAACTAGTGTCCATAAACCTCCAAAGTGAATTTTCTCCCATGTCTCATTTTAAATCGGACCAATACACTTTCAACCTTGATTTTTCCAAATGTCGATCTCATTGTTTTTTTCTACCACCCTGAGACTGAACTTTGCAAGTTCCTTGTAACTGTTTCTGCATATTGTCGACTTTATCCTTCTCTCAGTGTGTGGTGTTTACAGATGCGTTATCTTGAAAATATGAATTTTTGTCTACTAATATTCAGGTTCCGGTGTTACCCTCAAGACTTATGTTACCTTAGTGAAGCTCCTACCTTCAGCATAGACCTTGTTTAAGTCAAAAGGAAAAGCCTGTACGGGTTCAGCAACCATGCGTACATTCTTCTAGTAGGTAATGAGGCATACCTATTAGCGAGGGTTAATGTTACCACTACCTATCTTGTTAAACCTACTAAGTGGAGCTGGACCGATGGAAAAAGAGACTAGAGGATTTGGATTTTGCCGACCATGATTTATGTATAATGTCGCACAAACTCGAAGATCTACAGGCAAAAACAAACGAATTGGCAGGAGAGCAGGACAGCGAAGACGAACTTCCTTCAGGTGAACGTAGAGAAGACAGAGGTGATGAAGGTAACCAACCACCACCATCACCAACGAGCATCAATCACCATCAACGGGAGAGATCTAAACTAAGTTGTCTATCTCACTCAGGTACCTAGACAGCATCGTTCCAACCACAGATGGCACAGATAAGGACATCAGAGCCAGGATCGGAAAAGCAAGACAGGTCTTCACTAATCTGAAATCAGTGTGGAGATCTACTGCACTGCACTGCACTCAGCATAAAGCGTGAAAAAGATCCGGATTTTCAACACCCGTGTAAGTCAAGTAAGGCAGTGTTTCTGTGTGATGGTTGAGAGACTTGGCGAATTTCCAACAAACTACAGATATTCATCAACAGCTGCCATCTGCCCTCATTCGACAGTGACACTGAAGATCAGATGGCCAGAATAATAAGAATAAGCAACGAGGAATCTGGCTGGCTGGCAACGAACCAAGCAACAACTTATTGACCAACAAATATGCAGAAAAAAGTGGGGATGGATTGGGCATACACTGAGAAAACCATTCGGAGACATCACGCCCCCGGCCGTCGAATGGAAGCCAAAGGGGAAACGACGAGTTGGGCGTCTGAGCTAAGGTTGACATAGATGAGATCATGTGAGGAGGAAATGAAAGCTTATGGGCAGTCGTGGAGCCAGGTTCGAAAGACTGGAGAGAAGAGAGTGAATTGGAGACATGCTACTGAAGCCCTATGTTCTACTAGGAACCCAAGGGACAAATAACAATAATAATAAGGTGAAGTTAGTTTCGAACCCTTGACGCATGAGTTGGGAATCATTTACATTCATCGTGAATAATTGGACTAATGAAAGTATGACATTCTGATCAATCATCATCATTATACAATTTCAATTGATTGGTTTAATTATTTATGTAGGCAGTATGTACCGTGTGTAACACTTATCTATTTCTGGTTCTCTAATAATCCAAATCAAATATTCTTTAACAATAACCACTGAATACAAAATTCAATGATTATTAATAATGAGTAGTAATTAATCCGTTATGACCTTGAGAAGTGATTAAATCATGCCCTTAAAAAGGAAAGTGAAATATTTCATTATAAAAAGAAGAAATTTTGACTAACTTACTGTTAGAAATTTATTACACCAGAAAGTTTTAGGTAATTAGGTGTTTAGCCTTTTCATTAAATAATATGATTTTACTGGTTTATTAGAATATCTGAGTCACCAAGCGTTTTACACACCCTTGGCACAAACTAGAGACTATTTTTTAGAGCCAAGATCAAACTGTCTTTTCCAATAGCATATATATATAGGCCATGTTTTCCAGAACACGTACATTACATATATCTGTCATTAGGCAACGACTCCAGCATACACAATCCACTACATCAACTTAATTTGTCCCTCTACAGCAGGCTTGGCTATGTCTAGTCAAATTAGGACCAAACCTTACACCATCAACTCGCACTGAAATGTGGGTAAGCACGCCAGCAGGCTGACTGTCAGTCGGAAGCGGCCACAGTATATGTTGCAGCCATAAACTACGTTCAATATGTCGACATTCAAAGCAGTATGCAATTCATATTGGTTCACACAGTTGGCTGCACTCTTCTTTGACATATGAGTCAAGTGATTGACTATTCAAAGTTGTACTCCAACAATCCCATTCATTGACTTCCCAAACACCTAAAACTACCGATTTAATGATGTAACTTAAGATTGACACTACGAGGTGAGCATAGATGCAGTGTAACATGAAGCCGGATACCCATGAAGTCAAAAAACCCGTAAATGACATGCCTAACTGGATCGCTTAAACTGTATACAAATGCAAAGGACATGAATAGGGTGCGGTGCATGCAAATATGGCATACAGTCTTCTTTGAACCTCAAGCACAACCATAGGATCATGTACTATTCTATCGCTATTGGCATCATGCACTTCAAGTTCATTTACTGTAAAACGTAAATATTTTGGTTTTATTGTAGACCTGTGACAGGTGAGGCCAAAAGTCAGGTCATTGTTCACACTGGCATTTGATGTTTGTTAACGAAAAAACAGTTAGTTTTGAAAACAAGTCTAAACGTAATCATCATCATCAATATCAATATAGGATCAGCCATTACTCTGTAACGATCTAAGCTGCTAAACCTCATACCAACACATCAAGTCACAATGCAGTAAGATGAAAGGAAAAGATATCAGTCGGAAGCAGTGATAAACAGAAGAAGGAGGAATGGGAAAATGCTGAATTAAGTACATCGATTAAGATTAAATTGATGTATAGATACAGTTGTGTCCCTGACATCGATTCCGAGACCTTTCATGTAGAGTTTTCGACCACTAGACCCTGTTGTCATGTGAGCCCAAACCCGCTAGTCTGCATCTCTTTTAATGGTTTG